GCTGTGTGCAGAAGAAGTCCTGCAGCAACAGAGCCAGACACAGACAGCCCAAGGAGTGCAAGCTGTGTGGAGAGGCAGTTTTGCAGCAACAGAGCCAGGCACACACAGCTCAAGGAGCACAGACCCTGTGTTGAGCAGCAGACTGGCAGTGCTCAGAGCAGCCAAAAGGGACAGAAAAGCAACGCAAGGAGCCTGAGACTGACAAGGCAGCACAGCCTGCAGCTGGGTGTGGTGAGCAGCTGGGACCAGCAAAGTGCAGAGAGAGGCTCTGGGCAGGTAGATATCACTAGCCAAGAGGCCCAGCAGGCCAGACTGAGAGAGGTGTCTGGCCACTTAGGCTATGTATAGACTGCAAGCCTCTTTCAAAAGAGCGCGTCTAGACTGCACACGTAATTTCGAAAAAGCAAGCCGCTTTTTCGAAAGAAAGCACCCAGTGAGTCTGGATGCTCTCTTTCTAAAAAGCCTGTTTGCTGTCAAGAACGCCTTCTTTCGAAAGAGCACTTTTGAAAGATTTAATCAGTTGATGTTTAATAAATTGTATTTTGCTTAGAACCTTATGAAATAATCACTGGGCCAAGAAAACATGCAGTGTAAAGAGAGCACCTCGGAGTGGGGACACCCTAACTCCTGCCCCTAGTGACTACAAGGTTGGGGATTAAGCCCCAGGAAACCTGGGCCCAGCCTTGTTGGGGTTTCGAGGACTCTGCTACTCAGGAGAGTGGAGGGGGAGCCCTCAGGAACAGGGAGGCCATAGGGTAAAGGAAGTGGGAGCGGGGACTCAGATCCTTTCGCTGGTCCATTTCACCGGGGTGGTACAGAAGCCGGGAAAGTTCCCCACAATAGCGGGACCATTCCCCCGCTTATAATAAGTCCTGGTGGTTTGTGATTGTTACTTACACAGATTCCCTTCCTCTAATATGGTCATCCTAACTGGACAATTTGATAATTTTAAAGAACATGTTTCCATGTAGACAAAGACATTTTTGTTCTGAATAAGAAGTAAATGTAATTAGACCCAATGCACTTATAATTGTACTTGCCATTTAATATAAAAGCTACCCACAACACCACTAACTGAAACTGATAATTTATATAGGCTTATGAATGCAAGAATGTTTCAAGGGGAATAAATGCTGCAATAGAAATTCAAAGCTCACTTCAGCAGCTTTAGAAAATGTAGTTTCTCAATGAATCTAGGTCAATGTGCGCAGAGCCTGCTTTGCTACCTGAGATGAACCTACTGCTCTGAAGTGGATGTTGATTCTAAAAGAGATAAAACAAGAATGGGTCATACACATTTGCTTGCTCTGATGATACAAAGCATTATTGCCAATGATGTGCACATATCTAGTACTATCACAGATTATGTAACAAAGCCTATGCATTGGAAGAGAAATAAACAAATCACATTTGTATGCTTGCCTTGATAGAAAAACATAAAATGAATGCTTGGAAAGTAAAAAAAGAAAAAGGAAAATA